CCGGCGGCAGCTTTGGCCGAAAAGTCGGCACTGGCAAGTGCAATTGGTTCTAAAGGAATGTCAATATCCTCAATAGGATTATGGTCTTTTCTTATTTTACTGATGTTGACCTTCACGATTCTGGTTCCTAAATCAACTCCAACCATGCTGCCATCTACGGAAACCAACTTTCCTTTTATCCATTTTCCTCCATGTGAACCGTCTGATTTGATTTTTGATTTGTCTTCGGTCCAATAGTAAACTTTATCTCCAGGAAAGAATGGTCCATCACTAAGTTGAAGTTTACTCGCAATATCTCTTCGAAGGTCATCAGATTGTTTTGCCTCTAGAAACTTTCGCATCGCCAGTGACCTTAGTGCTTCAATCTGTCTCTCAGGAGCAGGGGCCTCAGTCGTGAGCTGTGCTGGATTCATGAGCTCAATCGCCGTAAGATCGGCAGGTCTTCTGCCAAATGCTAATTCAATAGGAGTGACACCGCCGAGTGTTACCATGGTGTTCCTTGAAATGCAGGCTTGTCTCAACAACTGTTTATAAGTAATGTTGGCAAGCAATGGATCATCTTTCAAGGAAATAAGCATTAATGAGACCTGTTTCTTAAACATGCGAATGGCTGCCTCAGCTCGATTTGGCCATGGTGTTCCTGGTCCTAGAGAGATTGGCCTGATGCTGTGCCGGTTGTAATAACTCTCCATCTCAGTGCCCATAAAAGCTTGATCGGCAACAATGTATTTTGGATTCAGCTGATAAGTTTCAAAGTATTCTTGAAGATGAGAAATCGTCACCGGATCAGATCTGTTTTGAACTACAAAGGCAGTAGTCAATGAGGTTGCACCGTCATACATAAGTAGGAATTGAAGTTTTGACTGTTGATTGATCGGAACTTCTCCATGATCAATGAAGGTAAGTCCACCAAAGACTTCACTTCGGATTCCTGAAACCTTAGCTCTCGATGGTGCAATCCTGGCAGTGGAACATGTGTCACATGATTTTGTAATCTGATCAAATTTGTCATAGATTTCTTTTGGTAACTTCAGAGCCGATGTTCTTCTCTTGAATTGTTCAGTGGTCATGTGATCATGCTTCAAATGCAACTTGAGAAGTTCAGTGGGTGATTGAAGCTTATCATGAATTCTCTGAAGTGCTAGTGACAAAGTTCCCTTAGGTGACGGTTCCTTTTTCTCTTCAAGTTTTACTTCAACCTTTGGTTCCGGCTTGACTTCGGATTCTTCTTCAATCTGAGGTTCCCGACGTCTTGGGATGCCGTCCTTTGAACCGGAACTTGGCCCAGAGGCCACCATTGGCTCTTCATCGGGATCAAAAGGTTGAGCTGGCACTTCTAACTTACTATCAGGCTGAATTGTTTTCTTGACAATCTTCTTAGAATCAGGCTTGGCCGGTTTCGGCACCTCTGCAGGCTTAGGCTCTGATCCCTTGAATCTCTTGCAACCTTCTTTGTTGGTGTGTGGTCGATGTTTACCATTGCATGCTGGGCATGTGATGTCTTCGGACTGAAAGCTGTACATCGGTTTCCAACTGGAAGTAGCAAGAGCCATAATGTCAAGGACTGGATGGTTGGACGTACTGACCGCTAATGCGGCGCGCTGCATTCCAAACAGTGGACAAGTCATGAACTCACCTACAGGAGTGTGCTCAATGTTCATGCGAAGATTCCTCATTTGTTCAACTGAAAAGAGGATAGGAACCTTACCTTTGTCCAGGATGTCAACGCATGTGGTGATCCAACCAGTTTGTGCACGATCATTGCGAAAATGAATCACTAATCTTTCCTTGACAGTAGATTGTTCTCCATTGGCAAATGAAAACTTACTTGAACACGGTTGCTTAGAAAACCAAATGTGATCACGCTTGGGATGTTGTTGGCAAGCCTGTACAAGGCAATCAATGGCAAAGCGGGATCCCATGGCTCGAGTGCAACCTGAGTCAAGAATGACATAAGTCGGATGAGAACCTAGATCTACATATTCACAAAGCAATGCTTGTTGGGCACCATGATCATAATTTAGGAATACACACTCTTCCGTTGAGACGGAATCGAGCGGGCTTGTGCGCGGCTGAAACGAATGCAGATCACCGTTTCCGGTAGAAACACTCTTCTCAACTTGGCGGATGCTCTTCAATAGGGACCTGTTCAAATCAGAAAAGCACTGGTACATCACAGACACGAACAGAAGCACGAATGTGAGGGCCTCTACAAGTTCGTGTCCGAACAATCGGAACAAGCGGATGCCTGAAAAACAGAACCGGTTGATCTTGTCGGTCTGTCCGTCCTCGAAATTGATGTCTGAATGCTTGTCCTCAGATTCGGTCAGTTCCTCAGCGGAAGCAAAGTACGACCAATTGTACCAATCACCTTGGGAGTAATCTCCATCATATCCATAGTAGGATTCATAACCTGACCAGTCATCTGTCCAGTATGTGTCATAGTCATAACTCCAGCTTTCTTCGGCATGGGCTGTTTCTTGTTTTTCAGGGGCTTGTGATGCACTGGATGATGCAGCCTGTGCTACATTAGCTTGTGGAGGTTGTGACAAAAATGGATTGTTTCCTCCTTTGTTCTTCGCATCACCTTTTCCTTTTCCTTTCCATGAAGGCATTCCTTTGAAAGAATCCTTTCCTTTCATCATTCCTTTCTTGCCCTTTTTACCTTTTCCTTTGCCCTTGCCTTTTCCCCAGAAAGCCGTGTCTTGCTGGTCATCTTCCCATGCTGCAAAACCTTTGCCTTTTGACCTCGAGCGGAAGCCGGGTCTTGATTTCTTTCCTCCTTTCTTGCCATAACCTTTTGGTCTACCTTTCTTGAAGGACCTGCCGTAGATACGGCGCTTAGAGTATGAACCCTTGGCGCTGAGAACCCAGAACTCGTTCTCCGTGTACAGACCTGTGAAACCTTCTTCACCCGTCTCTTCATCGAAGACCCAAAATCCGTACTCACCTTCTTCGGTCTCGCCCTCGTCGATGACGTAGAAGTTGGACCGCTTGCGGTGCGTGATGTTTGGGTCTGCAACACCTGTGCGGGAAACGGCAAAAAGTTCTAAGAACAGCTGTTTCACTTGGAGATAGGTGTATTGAGGCATTGCGATCTGACGGATGTTCATGGACGAGACAAAACGCTCGCGTTGTTGCTCGTTGAGGTCTGCTTGCACTAGAAAAATCAGTGACATCAAATTGTCTGACAATGGAAACTGCTGTGCATGTCTGGTCCTTCTATTGGTTATGGTCTGTTCTCTCAATTCTTGTTGAAAAGCTAGCTTATCTTCATCTGTTACTATTGCATTGTATTGCAGTCTTTGCTCATCTGTGAGTGCTGCTGTAAATGCCTGAGTGCCTGCTTCGGGAAGATCGGATATGTCCAGCAGATCGGACCAAGAAGCCAACAAACGCTTCTGCGCGATCTCAAATCGCCCTATCCAGTGCACGAATTCACTCTGGCCTCGATATGTGCGAAACATCTGGAGGAATCGCCAAAGGAACACATGATTTACTCCCTTCACGAAGTATGGTCTCAATGTGTCCTTGAAATGAGCGAGGCCACGATCCGGATCTCGGAGTAACACATTATCGAGCATCGACTTATAAAAAGAAGCGGAACCAATGAGGGCATTCTTTAATGATGGTCCGTGTTTATCTGCATCCAATGTTGTGATCCCTAACCAGTCATCAATTAAATCTTCATATTCAAACCAGCTTGATTGGCCATCAAATTGGGGTGGAACCTTCGGTGTCATTTTGATGCCCATCCGGTTTTCGGAATGACTGGTGGCGGCATATGCTTCAGGCTCTTCATAAGAGACAATCTGGAGTTGTTCTTCATCTGAATCCATGTTGTGGATTAAGCCCATGGCAGCTACTCTAACTTGACCTACAGGTTGCCTCCGCAAGTCCGATATACGGAATGTATGCAGAGAACGGCAGTTCGGCACACGGATCTAGACTTGGCGAAGGCACAGGCTCCGCTACCACTTTGAGGTAGCTATCCCTCTATTAGGGGAGCCCTGGATTATGTACAAACACCTGAGTCAAGCGTGAGCGACGGCACTTCTTTTCTACGCAAGATTCTGCTAGTCTTGAGCCATGCGGAGTGCGCATGAAAGATATGAATTAGGTGTACATGTCAACATGCATGAAAGCATTGTGTAGACACGTAAAACAAAATAAATCACAGGGTGGGGGGGGGGTACTAAAATGACTAGCAATCTCCTGAAGAATCAGGTAACGGGGCTGGCCGCCCTCCCCTTTACTTCGTAAAGTAAAACTCAAGGTAGCCCCTCTGGAGCTACCTTTCGTGAACAATTAAAACATATGTGTCTATATTTTAGTCAAATCAATGATCGTCAAGGCGACCAGGATTCCAATTCCACCAGCAATGCCAGCGCGTGTTGCCAGCGACCAGCCTTCTCACAAGCACTGATCGCCTGAGGTCAAAGGTTTATCTGGGGAAATTTCCAACAGTTTAAGATTGTAAAACACCTTCCACACTCTACGGTAGCAAGTCGCTTGTTGGCCTCTGGGACATACTAATGTCGGCGCTTAGCAACAGTATGTTCAAGTGGCGGAGAAAACTTCTTTAGACTGGCTCATTATATCTCATTATCTAATGTGGACCTTGATGAATCGCTTCACCATGGGGTCTCCAACGTACGTTTTGCAGCCCATTGTTTTGTTCGATGTAGTCCTTTGAAGGCTAGGTCCATTTTGGCCTGACATACCATGTTTGGCCCAAGCAACTGCAAGGCTGCCGCTGCGAAGCCGACTTTTTCATCAACATTAAAAATTTATTGGCTGCAAGTTGTCTCCTGACATCTATCGACCGCCTATCGACTACTGTTTTACCCAAACCTCAGCCCATCAGGGCTTGGAGTTTTGGAATAGTTGCTGGCTTTCGTAAACTCGAGGAATACAACAGCTGGAAGTTTTCCGGGCCTGCTGCATCGCCAGCTTCTCCTACATGTTTGTCCCAACTACTCAGCTAAGTAGTACATCGACTACTCAGCCAGCATCTCAGCAGCAGCTTCAGCATCAGCTTCATTGCCACCGTTGCAAACGTCGAAGACGCAGTCAGCAAAAGCCTATGGAAATCCATTTGGACTCAAATGGTTGGCTACAGGCCACAAAACATAAATATCATTAAATAATATTAAATATCAATAAATTATAGAATCTGTTTGTCCTTGCCCGGGCCTTGCCCATCTTGCCCCTCTCGTCAATTCTACTGATTCTACTGTAAGTCTATGTAAGTCTTGTCGTGGAATCTTTTAACATCTTTTAACATCTTTTGTAAGTCCTTGTGCCGGCCTCTGATTCCTCAAGGTCCACAAGGTGCTTTGCACAAATCCGCTCGGCTTCACTGCAACTTTGCAGCAAGGAGACTCCGACTTCGGCTCCAGCTTGCATCCTGGTCTTCAAATAAGAGTCTGCCTCTTCACTGCCGCCCAAAGTCAACCACGCCGTTGGGACCTGACACCCGGATATACCAGGATGACCATGGATGACCGATCTACTGAACACATCCGAACACCTGTTTTGGTTTCCCATGGTTTCCCCTGTTTTGTTTTATACAGCCCGGAATTCCAGCCTCAAACTCAGAGTCTGTCTTCATGTTGATGTGCTTGGACGAGAGGAAGCTGACTTGTTTCTCTGCGCGGTGTTTGGGAGCTCCCAACTCACCTCCCACATGATCAAGATCATCTTGATCGTACATGCGCACTTTGAAGTCCAGGCGTTCACCTGGCTTGCAGTGAGTCACAAGTTCTGCCACACTGTTCGTTTGGTCTTCCTCTTTCATCTTCAACTTCATCACGGATTCAATGTGAAGATGGCCCTTGATGGTCCTGTTCAAGGCAATCACCTCCACATATGCGGGACGGTCCTCTCCATCAACACCCACTGTAGCATTGTGCCATTCACCTCCTGACTGTCTTCCACGCCATTGGCAATCCTTTGCCGTCAGCTCCATGACGCTATATGTGTGGTCAATGAGCAGCAGCCCCGCAGTGGTGAACCTGGCCCCAGAGTAGGAGGCCAAGAGTTGCCACTCCACTGGTTGGATACCCGAGTTGAAGCTCGTCTTCCGGAAACTCCAGGCCAAGAATGTGCGTTGCTTCAGGAGGGTATAATGATCCCCATGCAGTGTCGTAATGTGACGATCACCTGTGACAGGCCCCGAGGAGCTGCAGAAGCAGATCCTTCGGCCGAAATTGTTTGTTGGGTTGGCTCTCTTTGCGCCACAGGTGGTGCTCGTCAGTGGCTCTAGAATTTCAGTTGGCTGAAAAAGATCTTTTTGAGTTGGCTGAGAAAGATCACCCGGTTCAGTATATAACCTCTGATAGAGCACAGACGGATGATATGGAAAATTATCTTCGGCAACAAAGCCATCCGTGAGCGTCACGACCCCGAAGCAAACTTTGACGAGTCGCTTCAACTCAGGACCTCGAGTATTGAACATCTTGTCTATGGACTCCGCGGTGCAAAGGTCTGCTCCACAAGCGTCAGAGCAGCTGGCATCTGTGCGCAGGGCTGGCAAATGCTGGACAAAATGAACGCTCAGAAATCAACCCTGCAAACTGCAAACGTCTCTGGCTGCAATGCTGGTCAATTATGCAGCGTCCTACAACTCTTGATCTACATCAAATGCATTGAAATGCATTTGACTTCATTTAAGAATGCAGGCGGTATGCATACAAACAACTTCTTTTAACACGACATCATACTACGGATGAAAGTAATTCAGAGCACGAGACAACCAGGAAGTCGGCAGTGATCTAAACACATTCCCACCATGCCTGGATCAGCTAGCACCCAACCATCGCAATTTATTGTTTGCGTCGCACCAGCTTTCATTTGCACCATGGACGATGCGTCGCAACGACCCTCATCGTGCCAACTCTGGTCATGCCCACAGGCGCCGGCGAACAGCAGCCACAAAATCATGGCCAACAAAAAATCCTAGAAGTACAGGCCTATCACTGTGAGATCCTGCAGAAATGGCTAATGACATCTCTTGTACATCTGCAAGCCACACCCAAAATGCATCAAAATGCTTTCTGCTTGAAATAGCTTGGCCTGTCTAAGGCTCAAGCCTATCCCCATGGTTTTAAAACACAGAAAGATAGACGGACACAGAGTTCGACCACAACTGGAATCTACTCCTGGACGGGTACCTACCAATCACACATTTCCTCACATTTCTATAGCATCATCCCGGAATCATTTTCTTGAAGGCAGTGGCATGCTGAAGACATCCAAACGTTGGCGTTTCAATGCTCCAACTGCTGCCACATCACACAGTCACCACGTGATGACGTTTGGATGCTGCATCGCCTCCAACAAGGAGATGGCCAACGGCCAAGCGCTGGCTGGTACTCACCTCACAGGCCATGGATCCACAGGATCCATTGAGGGGTTGATGATGATGATGATTATTATTATTACTATTATTACTATTATTACAAACATCCCAAAATTGGAGTTGGAAGTGAAGTTTACAAGTGTCATCCACTATCAAATAATTACTGGTCATATTCAGATATCAGCATGAGTAAAAGCTACAAACCATAGGTGATGTCAGTGATGTACACACCCTCTCTTTAAACTTTAGACTTTGACCAATTATCAATTAGAGGTTGTGGAGGCTCACAGATGCTGACGCTGGGTGGCAGTTGCGTTGTGACCAGCTTTGGTTGCAGCTTCCTGGGGCAACATTTTCAGCTGAAAGAGGATCAAGTTATGGGATTTACCGTCCCGATAGATGGACATAGATGGACCAAAGGTGCCAAGGTTTTCACTGGCCCATACCTGTAGATTCATGAAAAAATCGAGGGAGTTGCGAACAGCAACAAATCTTTTTCAAGTGGACATCCACCTTTGACATGTGTTCCGTTTCACATGTTCCTCATGTTGTGTGCGCTCTTCCCACCGTTTACGTGGTGCTTTGCTGGAACTCCCCTGGCCAAAGACAAGAAACTGGTTTCCAATTCTGGTGAAGATGGATTAGGCTGGACAACCAATATCAACTCAACCAATTGATTTTTGGTTTCAGAGATGACAAGGAACACAGCCTTTCGGCAGAGATAAAACTTGGTCCAGTCCTGACAGCCAAGTCATTGAGCAAGCGCAAAACCACTTGAGGTCTGCAACTGCTGATCGCAGCCTCAAATTGCGCGTGCGAAACGCATGCTGCGGCTGTCAGGTTCATATGGGGGTTGTCCAAAATACCTTTTCCCGGACAGCCCTCCATCGCTCAGCCAATCGCGTAGCAACCGCAGTACCACAGTGAGCAATCGCGGAAGGGTTTGTTCTTCGTTGATCAGATCATATACATAATATCATAAAATATAAGTTATGTATTATACAATGAATCGTGACAAAAATCTTTTGCTAATTCTTTGTAATATCATTGCTTTTCTGCTGAATTTGAAGCAACTGCTACTGCTACTGCTACTGCTAGTGCTGCTGGTACTATTGTGAGTTTTCCGGACCGTTTCCGGACCGCACAAGCTTATTTTGCTCCCAAATTTGAAATCGAATGCGTTCACGCATGGATCCTTACTCTCATTATAAGACTTGCTACTACTCTTAGTACTACCGACGTATTCTTGGGGGGAGCGATCCAGGGCCCTGCGCAACTTAATGCATACCCCTAAAGGAATGCGTCGAAAACAGAACGGGGCTTGTGATCGGTAAGGAGGATGGTAAGATACCCGAAGCTATTACAAGATATATAGTGGCATTATACTGGCAGTCTCCACTATTACATTTCGAAAGTTCTGCCTTTGCTTTTTTTTCCAAATGACAAAGGTCCCACTGAGGGGTCAGAAATCAGTCAGAAACCAGTCAGAAACCGGCCAAACGCAACCTCTCTCTCTCTCTCTGCCTTGCCTATTCCCTACGCCTACTCCTATTCCAATTTCCACTACCACTACTGCTACTGCTACTGCTACTGCTGCTGGTACTACTGTGAATTTTCCGGACCGTTTCCGGACCGCACAAGTTTATTTTGCTCCCAAATTTGAAATCGAATGCGTTCACGCATGGATCCTTACTCTCATTACTAGACTTGCTACTACTCTTAGTACTACCACCACACCCGCTGCTACTGCACCACCACTACCACTAGTACACCTAGGAATTTCTGCCTTTGCTTTTAAATCCAATTGAAACAAGTCCCGCTGAAGGGTCAGAAACCAGTCAGAAACCCGTCAGAAACCGGCCAAACGCAACCATCTGTTCCCCTCCCTCCCTCCCTCTCTCTCTCTCTCTTTCTCTCTTTCCCTCCCTCTCCCTTTCTTCCCTTGCCCTGCTACTAGAACTCCTACTCCGATTCCTACTCCTACTCCTACTCCTACCCCTACTACTACTACTACTACTCCTCCTACTCCTCCTACTCCTGCTACTCCTGCTACTGCTACTACTACTACTACTACTGCTACTGCTACTACTACTACTACTACTACTCCTACTCCTACTCCTACTCCTACCCCTACTCCTACTCCTAGTACTGGTATTACTGTGAGTTTTCCGGAGCGTTTCCGGCAATTTTCTTTTCTTCTCAAATATGAAAACGAATGCGTTCATGGGCAGATCCTTCTACTAGTGCTGCTACTACTCTCAGTATTACCACTAGCGCCGCTACCACTGCAACGCCACTACCACTACTACACCGAGGAATTTTTGCCTTTGCTTTTCTCCACTTGACAAAAGTTCCACGGAAGGGTCAGAAATCAGTCAGAAACCAGTCAGAAACCTGTCAGAAACCGGCCAAGCGCGAGTATATACACCTATGACTAACCTATGACTAATTTGGATGAAAGTGTATGGTGGAGCTATACAAAACTCAAACTAGAAAGGAATATATGATTTCGGACCGTTTCCGGACCGCGCGCACTCTGGTTGTCGGCACAACCTGTATACACCTATGGCTAATTTGGATGAAAGTGTATGGTGGAGCATACAACACTCAAACTAGAAACGAATATATGATTTCGGACGTCGATTTTCGCGGACCGCGCGCTACCCTGGTTGCCGGCAACAACCTGTAATACACCAGGCTAATTTGGATGAAAGTGTAGGGTGGAGCATACAACACTCAAACTAGAAACGAATATATGATTTCGGACCGATTCCGGACCGCACGCACTCTGGTAGGCGGCACAACGCGTGCAATGACTACTTTGCATGAAAGGGCGCGGGGGAATTTACAACGCTCCTCACGTATATTGCCTGATCCACCCTCCGGAAAACTCACAGTAATACCAGTAGTAGGAGGAGTAGGAGTAGGAGTAGGAGTAGGAGTAGGAGTAGGAGTAGGAGTAGGAGTAGGAGTAGGAGTAGGAGTAGGAGTAGGAGTAGGAGTAGTAGTAGTAGTAGTAGGGGTAAGACTAGTAGTAGGAGTAGGAGTAGGAATAGGAGTAGGAGTTCTAGTAGCAGGGCAAGGGAAGAAAGGGAGAGGGAGGGAAAGACAGAAAGAGAGAGAGAGAGAGGGAGGGAGGGGAACAGATGGTTGCGTTTGGCCGGTTCTGACGGGTTTCTGACTGGTTTCTGACTCTTCAGCGGGACTTGTGTCAATTGGATTTCAAAGCAAAGGCAGAAATTCCTAGGTGTACTAATGGTAGTGGTGGTGCAGTAGCAGCGGGTGTGGTGGTAGTACTAAGAGTAGTAGCAAGT